CTCTGATTTTTTTCTTCACAGATGCTGCCAGACCTGCTGAGCTTTTCCAGCAATTTCTGTTTATGTTCTTATTGAATGGCTGGCTCAAGGGGCTGAATGGCCTCTTCTTATTCCTGTGTTTTCCTATAAGATTAAAAAGGAAGAGATCCTGGTATATCAGGGATATGAGCCCCTCTCCACCACCTCCCAATTCCTCAATGTGAGAAAACATCTTTTCTGCTTCTCCCCATATAAGCCAGGGATCCCGGGGTCACTAACTCCAGAGAAGTAGCAAAAGGCAGCAAGAGGAGAGAAGCTGGAAGCAAGAGGCTGGCAATCAGGATCCTACCGGAGAGTCTCTTTGGCCACTGCCTTCAAGAGTGGCATGTTGGCAAAATCTTTTGCTTCTGGGATTTGGTCTCCGGGGCAAACATTGCTCACTTCTTCATACAGCTGCTGTTGAGTGGAGGGGTCCTGAGCCAGATTGTACAGGATCCAAGAGGTCGTGTTGGAGGTCTGAAAGACAGGAGTGGTTTGCTTCATTGTAAACCAGCAGAGCTTGAGAAGATATCCTGTGCTATAGATTACAGAGTTAAGGTAAAGCTTGCACTGTGTACTGGGGAGAAATGGAAAGGGAATTCTCTATGATCCCAGTAGGAGGTGCTGTGTGCTTATAGATCAAAACACAAGCATGTTCTATCAGTTGAATACAATACAAACACAGAACTTGATACAGCACAGAAGGAGGCCTTTTGGCCCATTGTCTCTGTGCCAGCTGTCCCAATTCGCTTAGTGCTTTTCTCTTGTTCCGAATTAACCTGCACATCCTTAATTTTCAGTTAACTGTCCATTTTATTTGCAATACCACATTTGCCTGTATTGAGGAGTCAGTCATTATGATACACCAGTGGAAAATGAGATTATAATAGGAACAGGATCACGCCATATATTTAATTTATTTAATAAGTTATTTAATAAAATCAGAATAAATCTTCCAGCATCACTCCTCCCACCACCGCATTCTCTAAAATGCTATCGATCCAGTTTTGAATATCCTCGATTCAAGGTTTTTAAACATGACAATGCCAAAGACTTACAACTCTCATAGAGAAGAGTTCTTCATCTGAATCCCATATGTCCAACCTCTTATCTTGATCCCCTAGTTCTAGAGCCCCACCCCCAAGTAAGGGGACAACAGTGTCATACTATTTACCCTGTCAAGCCCCCAGTGAACTGCAAACTTCCAATTAGATCCTTTCTTACCCTTCTAAACTCCAGGGCATATTGGCCCATTCTCTCATCCCAGCAATCAGATGAATACAACTATTTGCACCCTCTCCAAAGCAAGTCTATTTTCTTTGGATGTGGAGACCAAAACTGTACACCAGATGCAGTTTCATCATTAGCTATATCATTGCAGGAAGACTTCTTTGCTCAATTCCAGCCCCTTTGCAATAAAGGCTGATATAGCATTTGTCTTCCTATCTACTTCCTGTAGTCATACGCTAACTTCCTGTGAATTTTAGAATCCCTGCAGTGCAGAAAGAGGCCTTTCAGCCCATTAAGTCTACAGTGACCCTCCAGAGACCATCCTAACCAAGCCCAGCAACCACCACCCCCCACAACCCTGCATTTACCAAAGTCAACCCTTCTATCCTGCACTTCGCTGGATCCTATGGGCAATTTAGCAAGGCCAATCGACCTAACCGGCACATCTTTGGACTGTGGAAGGAAACCAGAACAGCCAGAGGAAACCCATGCAAACACAGGAAGAATGTGCAAACTCCACTCAGACGTTCACCCAAGGCTGGAATCAAACTTGGGTCCCTGGCACTGTGAGGCAACATTGCTAACCACTGAGCCACCGTGCTACCCATTTTGTACAATGGCATCACAAATTCCTCTGAACTACAACACCTATGAGTCTCTCTCCATTTGAAAAAGTAAGCTTCTTTCTACAGCGCTGGAGTTCTCATAACAAATGCACACAATTCCATTAAGAAATACACAATTCCATTCCATAAGCATGCCCCTCAGTGCGATCGAGCTTATTACAGGCAGCTAAACATACTCATCATTAAATATTTCAGAGATAGTAAGAACTGCTGATGCTGGAGTCAGAAATAACATGGTGTGGAGCTGGAGGAACACAACAGGCCAGGCATCAGAGGAACAGGAAAGTTGCTGAAATTGCTGAAGGGTCCCGACCTGAAATGTCAACTTTCCTGCTCCTCTGATGCTAATTTTCTGAAGAAGGGTCCTGACCCAAAACATCAGCTTTCCTGCTTCTCTGATGCTGCCTGGCCTGCTGTGTTCTTCATTATTAAATATCTTATTCTTACGGTGTCCACTGCAGCTAACAGGAGCTCACACAGACTGCCATATACATCGACAGGAGTCATCTTGGTATTGGCTAGTAGATATGTGAGGTACTCTCCTTCTATTGTTCTGCCCTTCTCAACGTGCTCCTGTATCTCTCTCATCTTCTTGTCGACAAGCTTCTCAGCTGAAAATTAAGAAAATACTGTTGACAATTAATGTGATGAGCAGGAGTACTTTGCACTCAGGGGGAGAAGAAATTGTGTTCCAGAGTCTGGAATGCACTGCCTAGAAGACTAGGAGTCACAAAGTAAAACCCTCATAGTTTTCTTGAAAACAGGTTTCATGGACATCATTATTGCCCAACCCTAACTGCCCTTGAACTGTCTGGCCATTTCAGAGAGCAGTCAAGAGTCAACCACATTGCTGTGGGTCTGGAGTCACATGCAGGCCAGCAGATTTCTTTCCCTAATGGATATTAGCAATTCAGATAAGTTTTCATGATAGTCAATGAATGGTTTAGGGTCAACAATCTCTCAGTTCCAGACCTTATTAATTAGATCCAAATTCCACCAGCAGCTGTAATGGGATTTGAACTCATGAACCCGAGGATTACTAGCCCCAGTGACGTAGCCAGCAGAACATCATTTATAGACGCTCAAGCCAACCGGTACAAACAAGTTAGAACACACCTCTGGAGCAGGTGGAACCTAACACTGTATCTCCTGACACTACCATACCAGAGCCCATACCACCGTTACAGGGCAGAGGCAGCAGTGTTGATGACTCCCCACATACCGTTCGGTTTGTTCCCTCTGGGGGAAACTGGCAGTTCAGAAGGTGTAAAAGTGTCAATTTGCCAAGATTCCATTGTGTATAACCTCAATGTGATCATATCGGCAGTGCCAACTTTGTGATTTCAGGATTATAGACCCTGGAGTTTAGAACAATGAGGGGTGGGGATCTTATAGAAACCTATAAACATCTAACAGGACTAGACAGAGTAAACACAGGAAGGATGTTCCTGATGACAGGGGAGCCCATGCCACCCAGATATGCTAAATTCATCTAGTCCCATTTGCCAGCACTTGGCCAATATCCTTCTCGACCCTTCCTATTCATGAGCCCATCCAGATGCTTTTTAAATGTTGTAATTGTACCAGCCTCCACCACCTCCTCTGGCAGCTCATTCCATACACACACCACCCTCTGCATGAAAAAAATACCACTTAAGCTCCTTTTCAATCTTTCCTCTCTCATGTTAAACCTATGCCTCCTAGTTTTGCACTCCCTTACCCTGGGAAAAAGACCTTGGTTATTCAATCTATTCATGCCCATCTTGATTTTATAAACCTCTATAAAGGTTACCCATCAGCCTCGGTGCTCCAGGGAAAACTGCCCTCAGCCTCTTCAGCCTCTCCCTATAGCTCAAAACCTCCAACCTGGCAACATCCTTGTAAATCTTTTCTGAACCCTTTCAAGTTTCACTACATCCTTCCTATAGCAGGGAGACCAGAGTTGCACATAGTATCCCAAAAGTGGCCGAACCAACGTCCTGTACTGCCAAAACCTGACCTCAATGCACTGACCAATAAAGGCAAGCATACCAAACACCTTCTTCATCATAAATAAAAACCGAAAGAACTGCGGATGCTGTAAATCAGGAATAAAAACAAAGTTGCTGGAAAAGCTCAGCAGGTCTGGCAGCATCTGTCAAGAAAAAACAGTTCTGAGGAAGGGTCACCGGACCCGAAAAGTTAACTGTTTATTTCTTCACAGATGCTGCCAGACCTGCTGAGCTTCTCCAGCAACTTTGTTTTTGTACCTTCTTCATCATCCTGTTTACATGCAACTCCACTTTCAAGGAACTATGAACCTGCATCCCAAGGTCTCTTTGTTCAGCAACACTCCCCAGGACCTTACCATTAAGTATTTAAGTCCTGCACTGATTTGCCTAATCAAAATGGAGCACCTCACGTTTATCTAAATTAAATTCCATCTGCCACTCCTCGGCCCATTGGCCAGTCTGATCAAGATCCCATTGTACTCTGAGATAATCTTCTTCGCTGTGCACTACAGGTCTAGTTTTGGTGTCATCTGCAAACTTACTAACCTACCTCCTATGTTCACATCCAAATCATTTATATAACTGACGAAAAGCAGCAGACCCAGGACCAGACCTGCTGAGTTTCTCCAGCACTTCCTGCTTGTACTCCGGGATATATTTTTGTTCATTTTCACAGAATAGAATAAAAATCTCACAAATGACTCGACTTCAAATAACTTTGTCTTACTGATGTAAAAGATGTAGTCCCACGCTGCTACAAATTGTTTCCATTGCGGTATATAGGGCCACAAAACTTTCGGAAAGAAGACAATAACGGCGGAGAGGCGGAACATTTCAAACACGGCCTTGATGAATTTATCCGTTTCCTCAGGAACATGTTCCTCCAGGCATCCCATTCTCATTTCAAACAGTATTGTGCAGATTGCTGGGAAAAACAAACCAGAAAAAAAACAAACCCATCACTTGATTGCTGTACAGCTAGAATATTTGATTTATTATTGTCACATGTACCTAGGTACAGTGAAAAGTTTCGTTTTGTGTGCAGTACAGGCAGACCATACCATACAAAGTGCATTAGGGTAATGGAATAGAGTGAGGAATGCAACGTTACGGCTGCAGAGAAGGTGCACAGAGAGTGAGATCAATATTTAAATTTAAAATTTGAGAGGACCATTCAGAAGTTTAAATACTGCAAACAGTTTTGGTCTCCCTATCTAAGGAAAGATATACTGCCATTGGAACATAGGAATAGAGTAGGCTGTTCAGCCTATGTAGCCTTCCCCACCCTACAGTACATCTGTGGTTGATGGTTCACTTCAATGTCTTTTACTCACCCCATCCCTGTAATGCTGTATGCCACTGGCCATCAGAAATTTAGGCAGCAGCAGTGGGAGCGGTGAGAGCGAGGACCAGGGGCCTGCCAGGAGGTAAGTTTCCCATTTAAATACTTACCTGGTGGAATCAGCGGCCTCCATTTTTGCAGCAGCAGCGGGAGCGATGAGAGCGAGGACCAGGGGGCTGCCGGGAGGTAAGTCCTTCTTTTCAGCAGCGGAGCTGAGTGGGAGCAGTCGAATTGCGCCTTCGGAAGTGAGTGAACTGATATATTTGGGCAGTGGCTGAGGAAGTTGTGAATAGCACATTCAGCAAATCGGTCACACCGCAGATTAGGATTGCTGAGGGAGAAAGGGAATGGGTGACCAAAAGGCAGAGAAAAAGCAGGAAGGCAGTGCAGGTGTCCCCTGCGGTCATTTCCCTGCAAAACAGATATACCATTTTGGATACTGTTGGGGGAGATGGTTCACCAGGGGAAGGCAGCAGTAGCCAGGTTCATGGCACCGTGGCTGGCTCTGCTGTACAGAAGGGCGGGAAAAGGAGTGAAAGGGCTATAGTCCTAGGGGATTCAATTGTAAGGGGAGTAAATAGGTGGTTCTGTGGTCGAAAACGAGACTCCCGAATGGTATGTTGACTCCCAGGTGCATGGGTCAGGGATGTCTCAGATCGACTGCAGGACATTCTGAAGGGGGAGGGTGAACAGCCAGCTGTCGTGGTGCATATAGGCACCGATGATATAGGTAAAAAATGGGATGAGGTCCTACAAGCAGAATTTAGGGAGTTAGGAGCCAAGTTACAAAGTAGGACCTCAGAGGTAGTAATCTCAGGACTGCTACCAGTGCCACGTGCTAGTCAGAGTAGAAATGAAAGAACAGGCAGGATAAATGAGTGGCTTGAGAGATGGTGCAGGAGGGAGGGGTTCAGATTTTTGGGACATTGGGACCGGTTGTGGGGGAGGTGGGACTATTACAAATCAGACAGTCTACACCTGGGCAGGACTGGAACCAATGTCCTAGGGGATGCTTTTGCTAACGCTGTTGAGGAGGGTTTAAACTAATGCGGCAGGGGGATGGGAACCAAATGAGGAGGTTAGTGGACAGTAAGGAGGTAGTAACTAAAGCCTGTAAGGAACTAGATAATGCAGTCAGTGTGACTGAGGGGAAGAGTAGGCAGAGAGCAGATGATGAACGCAAAGAGACAGGTGGTCTGAGGTGCATTTGTTTTAATGCAATAAGTGTAGTCGGTAAAGCTGATGAACTTAGGGCTTGGATTAGTACCTGGGAGTATGATGTTATCGCTATGACTGAGACTTGGTTGAGGGAAGGGCAAGATTGGCAACTAAATATCCCAGGATATAGATGCTTCAGGCGGGATAGAGAGGGAGGTAAAAGGGGTGGAGGAGTTGCATTACTGGTCAAAGAGGATATCACAGCTATGCTGAAGGAGGGCACTATGGAGGACGCGAGCAGTGAGGCAATATGGGCAGAGCTCAGAAATAGGAAGGGTGCGATAACAATGTTGGGGCTGTACTACAGGCCTCCCAACAGCGAGCGTGAG